TTTTAGAATAAAAAAAAAAATAATTGCAAGAAGTATTCACTACTTGCCAGTGTGATGAAGGGAATATTAGTCCGTGGTTCCCCGGGTATAATCCCATCCCCATGAACACGAAACTGTCCTGATTTCGGTGGGTGGGGGGAGTGGAATTATACCCTGGGATTCCCTTGGCCTAGTGTATGAACAGACGGAAATGATGATCGTTTTGCAGGGTTGTTTTCACCTACGATTCAATAGCCTATCAAAACAATATTCGGGCGAAGAAATCAGTCTTGCATGTTGTAACAAGTTATTTTTAGCAGCCAATCTCTGTGGAAACATGTAAGTCTTCACGCTGTGAATTAACGATCCGATTAGCCCACTGGGCAGGTCTTTTTAGATACAGACCGCGGTGTTGTCTATCTTTACTTTAGCCGCAGTTAGCGAGCTGCTTATTTTTAGCGACAGGAAACAACAAAGTAATTTACAAGAATGGGCTTTGTGTTTTAATTTATGGCGACCAATATCAGTTTTAAGCAATTTTAAGAGTTTCAAGTCGGCAGAATTCGGAGACAATTCCTTTATTTTTTGAGCATTTGTTGAATTTATCGACCTAGGCCTAGGCCGACTTACCCAATCCTCAGACTCCGGGGAAATTCGTGTACGTGAAGTTGGGTGTAAAGTCGTAAAGATTCTACTCGGGGAACTATGGTAATATTTTATAGCAGTAGTGACTGAGAGAGTTTTCTCTATTGTTGAAAAAACAAAACGAAGCTTCGAGCTAGCATGACAACAAAAACTTAAAGTGCTTTAATGACACACAAGCTGGAAATGTTGAACAGAGATTATAAGTGTCATTCGAATAAATATTGACGTTATGACTCCAATGAGATCCAGCGAAACAAGCAACATACCGTGCCCTTCATTGTGAAGTCTGTAAGCCTACTGATTAAAATGTAACTTAAATATTTTTTCTTGGTTGTGAGGTAAATAAACAGTACACTTGAAATTAAGTAACTCTTGTTTTGTTTGAAGCAACTGTACAGGAATTAGGATATATAATTGCCATCTTAATTTTTTGTCACCAATGAATAGCATCCCTATTTTTGATATTCGAATGTTGGCAGGTATGTAAATAACCAGCATTTGATGGACGGACCTGTATGGGGGTGTAGGTGTACGTAAAAACATTAGAAACCATTACTGGACTACAAATCCCTCTAAACTACGTTTACGTACAAAGGAACATACCAAACCCGCAGGGTTATGGTTTAAAATGTAATTCAAATTCAAAACGAAAATCAAAAACCAGCCTGGTTTGAAATGCATTTTACAACAACACTAGACGGATTTTGCTGCGTATGGCACTAGACTTGCGAAATATAAATCAAAACTAATCAGCCAAGCATGACGTAGGCCTGTTCCATTAATGATGGGTTAATCAATTTTCGCTGCAGTCCAATGCCATGAACAACATCACATTCACATTTTGTTGTTAATGTGTTTTAAACCAGTCAGGCTTTGCTGGTATTTGATTTACGTTTTAGAACAGAATTTGGAGAGGGCGTTTCCTTTTCTTATGTTTCATTCTTTTCTTTCTTTTTTCTTTCTTATATTTTCTGTTCTTATTTTTCTTTCTTTATCTTTCCTTTCATATAATTAATTCCTTTCTTATAATTCCTTCTCTTTCTTTCCATTTCATTATTATACCTTTTCATAGGTGTCCTTGAATATCCTTTAATTTTCTTTTTTATGGTTCGTTCTTTTCATTCCTTTTTTTTTTTTTCTTATAATTACTTTTCTTTTCTTTTCTTTCATTTTCTTTCTTCTCGTATAGGGTTATCCTCTTGCTCTCATTTTTTTGTGTTATTATGTACTTGTCTTTTATTTTTGACTTTTCATTTCGAATATCGTTTATTTTCTTAACAAATTTCAATTCAAATAATACAAGTTTCTTCTATACCAGTCATATGCAAATTTATTTAAACTTAAATCAATAACATTAGGCCTATAGATAGAATACCTGATTGGCAGTGGAGGTACCGATCGGCTGTGTAGGTACCGATTTGAGTTGTCGCAATAGCAAATGTAAGCGTTGTAGGGGTATACTCTGACTTCCATTGACTCACTGAATACGTGATTGGCTGATATTGAAAACCAGCCATGTGGAAATTCTAAGCAGCTGAGATTACGATGCGATAGGCCCGACCGTGACTTATTATTGATACCAAAGTAGGCTATAAACATTGTATGTCTTTGCTATTCCAATGAACTGTAGCAATCCACTCGAAAAAATTAAGGTTTATATAGAAGATTGTGGCTAAGAAATGCTAAATAAAACGGAAAATCTGTACTATATATATATTTTTTAAATTTATTTTAGCTTACCTTGACAATCCGCCACTGATTGTGATGAGGGCAGGGAGTTCTCTAAGTAACAACTCTCTGATGAGGGGATGGTTTTTACTTTGAAACTTTCAATATTTTGGTTCTCAGTGTCCTAGCACTGATCAGTGCCTAGGCCTAGCAATTCGTCTTCCTACTGTAGCTTTATTTTATAATCCACCACTACACTGCAAGTCAAAATAGAAGGCTTCACTGTTAAATTATATTCAGTTCGTTTTTACTAAATAGAGGTAACTTCATGTTTCAGTTTCTTTCCAACCCTGGCTTGCGACATTTTTTACTTAAAAAGTATCATTGATCCACCCTCATTTCATTGCGCATGCGCAATAATGTGTCACACTTCTAACGCTAGGCAGTTGTCTTCCGGTGTGGGGTCAATAACTACGGCGATCAATAATTAACACCGATAAATTATTAAATAAATGTGACTTTCTTACTTTCTGTGACAATTATTTTCTCTTTACAACCAGGCCCTACAGTAAAAAAATACAAATTAACAATATAAAATGAATGAACTGAGGAATATACCCAAGAAAATTTACAAGTAAACTTATTTCCATTTTGGTCCTCAAGACAGAAAGAAAACATAGAAAATTGCACTGACCTCTAAAAATAACAAAATCTCACTCACTAATTCAATTTACATTTTAATTACAATTTACAATTAAAATACACAAATTCTAAAGACGGTCGAAAAGTCAAAATTACTTAAAAAAAATGCAGCACATCAATGAGAAATATTAAGGAATCGAAAAAAAAATTTACAATTTTAAAAAATAATTTATAATTCTGATTATAGAAAATTTATTTTATTAAAATTCAAGTATAAAACAAATCAATTTAAATTAATTATGACATTAAAATTAAACAATACAAAAATTACAATTACAGACAATTTATATACAATTTTGTTTAAATTCATTAAATTAACAATTATAGTATCAAAAACACTTTATTTTTATTTAATTAAATAATTATAATAATATGTTAGGTATTATAAAAAATTTAGATATTATTTAAGCAATATTAGTATTGCAGTTCTTATATTTACAATGTTAAAAATACTTTATTAAATTTTTTTATAAGCAAAATACACTAATTTAAACAATATAACTGTTGAAATTCATTATATTTACAATCATTTAATACTTTCAAATTAAATTATAAATTAGATAGCAATAATGTTTTTTAATAGTATTTTTAATTAAGCTTATTTATGTTTACAAAGTAATTTTTGATGTTTAGTTAAACCCTTTTTGTCTTTCTCAATCAATTTTTATCTGTATTCCTTTGTGCAATATTTGATGTTACTAAAAATATAATTTGATAGTAATTTTTAAGAATAATTCATAAATTAAATTAATAATTAGATTAAATAATAATAATAATAATAATAATAATAATAATAATAATAATAATAATAATAATAATATATTAATTAAATTATCTCAATGTTTTTATTTTCTCTATTGATATTAATTTATATTGCCTCTTTTTCTAGTACTGTTTTATATTTTGTATATTCCAATTTCCATTTTGTATAAAAATATAATTTGAGAGTAATTTTTAAGAATAATTCATAAATAAAATAATAATTAGATTAAATAATAATAATAATAATAATAATAATAATAATAATTATATATTAATTAAATTATCTCAATGTTTTTATTTTCTCTATTGATATTAATTTATATTGCCTCTTTTTCTAATACTGTTTTATATTTTGTATATTCCAATCACTACTATTGTTTTATGATTGCAATAAAGATTTATTTGAATTTGAATAATTATTATAATTATATAATTCCAGAATAAAAATACATTACTGTAAAGGTTTATTTTATATAAAAAAATCTGACCAGATGGTAGGGTCCATTAAATGGGGGTTGTATTACAAAGGAATTTTATCAAATAAATAAATTGATTTGAGGTATAATGCTATTATAATAAATTGTATATCAACATCAATATATTTTTGAAATACCGAGCCTTGCATTTTTTATGTGTGAAGGTGCATGACAAAATATGATCAACACACAACAAATATGTGCATCATTGATGAAAATACAGTAGAACCCCTATATTAGGGTCACACTGTCAGGACCAAAATAAGTGTCCCCTGAATAGGGGTACTCCTATTCATGGGCCACTAACCAAAAACGTGGGTTTTTTGTCATGTTTTAGATAGATTAGAATTAACCTATATGAAAATATGCTAAACAAGAAATCTGGTTAATGGTTAAAATTGACAAGATTGGTTTTCAACAGTAGTGTTAAAAGATATATTTCTCCTCATATAATGGAAAAGTGTCCCATTAATAGGGGTGTCCTCTGAATAGGTGTGTCCCAAAGGAGGGGTTCTAGTGTACTTACAGTCATTTTATTCTTGGTTCACATAACTCACAGTTATTATATTGTTTCAGGGAGTTGCACATCCTTCTGGTGACAGTGGGTTTCCTCATTCTCTTGGGAATGATGCCAAATGAATAAAATAAATAAATAAGTGAAGGAGTGGTTAAGTTTCGGTAATATGTACTGATGTAATTTTATTTGTTTTCCTTTATCGATTTGTGTTAGTGATCATACCTTACTTATCGTCAATTTTATGTCCTTAGGATTCCGCTACACAAGGTAAAGACCATCAGAAGAACACTAGCAGAAGCTGGAACGACCCTAGAAGATGTTGCTCAGTACAACTCAAAGTTCCAACAGTATGCCAGTTTAGGAGACCCAATTAAGCTTACAGACTACATGGATGTAAGTGTTGAATCTTATAATTATATCTAATTTATATATTCAAGTAAAAGATTATTCTATCTTTTTATTTTTCTACTGTAAAAATCATAATATTTTATGTTTTAATTCCCAGGCCCAATACTATGGAGAGATTCAAATTGGAACTCCTCCTCAAATCTTTAATGTGGTGTTTGATACTGGCAGTTCAAACTTGTGGATTCCATCTTCAAAATGCCCAATTTATGATGTTGCTTGTTGTAAGTCAAATTTAATATCATGTAATTTGCCTTAATGTTTTCTTTATAACTGATCACAGCAGCAGTTTTTGGCTTATACTTCATCATTGCATGAATACAACAATGTTTGTATTGGAAATTTTGTCCTTGCTGGAGTCTATTGCATCACAATAACGTTTATTTTACTTGAACATGCGGCAACCAAACAAAAAAATATAATGTATCATAAAGAATAATTTTAAAAGTAATGATACCATTGCTGTGGATCTATACTATACTAGACTATCTCTCAATTAGAAACTCTCGATTTTATGAACCCAATTTGCGACGATAATGTCATTACGAATGATCATTTATAACTACACAAGCATGAGCGAATCCACTTGCCCGACGCCCGGGACAAGAGTATTTTATGGTCAGACAACAAGAATTTTATGGACCACTTGTCCGTGGACAAGCACTTTTAGAATTGGCTACTTCACCATGGAATGCGTAATGCTTTCACAGTACTTATAAAAAGTCTGACTCTTGACAATACGCAGCATATTTTAGTAACAAATTGTCGGCACACAAAGAGAGATCAAACAGAAAACCGACTATGCCATGGTTACGCACAGCACACAGTGTTCATCAAGTTAGAGTCACCTACACCTCGCGATTTATTGATGGTTTAAAAGAAAAAATTTAGGCCTACTCAATATAAAATTTTCTGCAGTACAGATTGAAAATTAATTCTTAATTGTTAAATGTTAGCCAGATCTGTTGTATGTTTACATATTAAACCTCAGACCTACATATTTTCCCATGGTATCGTACCTGTCAGCCGTCTGTTTACAATATAAATTCGCACTGGTCTAGTCTATAAATACCAGACATATACCAAGATTTTGGGCGCACAGCCATTAGTTGATAAGTGTAGGTGGACGACATGAATTGTCTGGACTTCAAGACTAGTAATTACTTTCGAGTACGAATATAAACAGGCAATCTATACAGGCTAAGAAAGGGTAGTTAAATTGGGATTTAAAGTTGTTAAAGTAATTAAAACATTATTCACTAAGTGATGATGATAATGTGCATTTAAAATCCAAATCTTGTAAAACTGAAGTTAAAAATTGAGGGTTTAGTGCCTATAAATGAATCATTTTCCTGTCTCAAAAATTTCGCCGTCTCTGAGATTCTCTAGAAGGGATTCGTCCCCTCGGCCCATGCTCAGAGTTATATAGGCCTACAGTGCTTGTTTTTCGTTGAGAGGTAAGCAATTTTTTTTATTTTTCAATAAATGAAATGAGGATGTGTCAGGCTGTAAAATATTCCCCGCAATAAATATTAGGCCCAGAAATCTGTTGCCGCATTTCGAAAATATATGCCAATGTCCACGGATATTTTGCAGAAAATTGAGGGCTTGATAGTAGGAACACAAGTATTTACGATTATGTGCATTCTTTTTCTAAAGGTTTTCCTGTGCAATTTGAATTAGTTTTTTTGTATCCTCTGCAAAAAAAAAATAAAAAAATAAAATAAATTCAAAGTTAGTATAAGAATTGATTAAGATCTGCAAACATGTACAAACATACGGTATTGCCACCCCCCCCCCCCCAAAAAAAAAGAAAAACAAAAATAACGTTATAAAACACAGTCCTGTCATAGTGTGAGATCTTGTGTATCGTGGGAATCAACCAAGCCTGAGAAATTTTTACTTGCAGTTGTCGTTTTAATTCTTGCAAATTAAAATAAAACACAGTCCTGTCATAGTGTGGCCAAGATCTTGTGTATCGTGGGAATCAACCATGCCTGAGAAATTTTTACTTGCAGTTGTCGTTTTAATTCTTGCAAATTAAAAAAAGAAAGAAAAATATTTTTGCGTGATCAAACCAGTATGCATGTAGGCCTTTTAATGTTGTAAGGCCATAGCAAAAATACTTTACTTTTGTGTTGTTTTTTTATGATTATTGCACAATAATATTGGGACTAGTAGAATTGTCTTCAGGACAAATACATTTTTAATAGGTACTTGTCCGGAGACAAGTGAAAAAATATGAAATTCCCTCATGGCTGCTGCAAAAACACTTAAAATTGTATTTAAAAGTCTTCAAAAATAATATAAAATGTTATATCAGCTAAGAAAGAAAACATTTAAACCAATAATGTAACATAAAACTAAGTTTAAAGCAAAGAATATTGATCGTTTTCAGTCGAGATATATTACATTTGAGCTGTACATGCTTGTTCAGACATACTGTTATAAACACAAAATAGTGTTCTCTGTGATTTATGCGTAACAGATATAAGCGTTGATTTGGCAGGAAAGTAATAACTTTTGGGAGAGGGCATCCTAGTTGTTGCCATGGTTCTGAGATAAGGTGTATGTGTTATGCCAAAGTTCATTTTCAAGTATGTTATTGTTCCCTAATTGTTCTAAAGAGAGGGGGCACATTATAAATCAATGCTTCTATTCGCGATTTTTATGAAGAGAATAATAAAACTCGTTTTTTGGTCATGTTTTTATCCAGAAATCACATCAAATTAATATTTCACAGTGAGCACAGGTAATTTTGGCTTCTGTAAAATATTATTTTGTTGCAGAAAACAGTAAAATCCAAGTCATTTTTGTAACAAAATATTGCTCCCATCGCAAGGCTTAGGCCTACCTAGCCCTGTACTTTTTAGCATAGGCCTAGGCCTACCCTCACCACGCTGAGATTCTATAAATATTCAAACTCTCTGAATTACGATTTTTCTCAATTACGAACTCTGTTCAGATGGAGGGGTATGTAATTGGGAGATGTTACTTTAGAAATATATTTGATGTTGTAAGACACCAACAAAATATAATAATGATATAAAAAAAAAGAAACATAATTAAATTTAAAAGATAAGGTCTTGAAACGTTCTGTAAGTACGTCTTCACCTTTATTGGTTGATTAAAATAACTTTACAACATAAGACTCACAGTTTTTTTACCTCTGGTTTTAGTATTACATCGCCGCTATGATGGATCAAAATCATCAACTTACAAACAGAACGGAACCAAGTTTGAGATCCAGTACGGGTCTGGATCAATGTCTGGGTTTCTTAGTGAAGACATTGTGACGGTAACTATGACATGTATTTGAAACTATATTTTTCAAAACTTATAATAGCAAAAATCATTTATTAAATAGCATTGTTTATGCAATTGGTGGCCATGGTGGCTGCTATATATTAATTTGTAAGAAAACTACATCAAAAACACAATACAGCTCATGGCCCAGAGGCCAGATTATGTGTATTGTATATAACACATAAAAAGTTATAAAAATTATTCTAAAATACTAAAATTTATATATATTATTAAAATTATATCTTTGCAATCAATTACTTTATGTAACTAATAATCATTAATTTTAATTATTATTTGTGTAGATTGGAAACTACGCTATCAAAGGGCAAGTGTTTGCTGAAGCAACCCATGAACCTGGATTGGCATTCATTGCTGCTAAGTTTGATGGCATTCTTGGAATGGGTTATCCTCAAATCTCTGTTGATAATGTAGTTCCAGTCTTTGACAATTTGTTCAAGCAGAAGTTGGTGGATCAAGATGTCTTTTCCTTTTATTTGGACAGGTAATTTTAATTAACTTTTAAATTTTATTTTTGATCAGTGTGGTGTTAAATTACCATGTAAACATCTTGTGACAAAATAACACTGCTTCTGAGAGGATGGTGTTTGTGAATGCTCTGCAAAGGAATAACTTTTAACAACAAAACTGGTTTTTAATTATATCAACTGACGCCATTCAATGTACATTACTTTTTGAAATTATATGTTATTGTTTTTTATGATATAATTAATTTATGAAAGCAAGTTCCTTTCGAATCTTGTACAAAGAATTGTGCTATTTGATATAATTTTATTGTAATTTTTAGTTAATATTTGTTGTTATTTTTTAACACACTGTCGTGTGGCACTATAACGAAAGCCCCTTGGGTGTATCATGAAATTGTAGACCAAATTCACAACAGTCCAAGTCGAAAACAAACTGAAAGAAAGAAATCTAGAAAATAATATAATGGATAGGGAAGCAAACATTACTTTATGAGATTAACCAGGGCATTACTAAAAAAGAGAATAATAGGCTGAAGAGACAAGGTAGGGAAGACCATTAAAGTTACAGCAGTTCTGATTATGTCATTAGAAGTAAATACTAACCATTGTACTTCTTGGCTATGTAAACACTAATTCTCTAGTATGAATTTTGTTTGAACTTAAAAATAACTTGTATAACCCATGAAAAATAGTTTCTTTGACAATGAAAGACTATAAAGTACTGTATTAAAAAGCACTTTCATGTAAATACCTGTTTTGTATTGCTTCAAGTTTGATACACCTTAAGATACTATGATACAAGGATTCATTTATTATCTCATTGACCAAAAAAAGAAAAAGAAAAAGTAATCTTGAACAAATTTTTCATGTTTGTTCAATACTCATTGAGAAATGTGCAATAAAAAAATTAGCCAAAATTTAAAGTAATAATATTTTAATTCTGAAATTATTACTTATAGTTTTAAAAAATTAATAAAATCTTTATTAAATTAGAAATTCAATTGAAATTATTATTTTTTCCCTTGAATCTGATAACAGAGATCCATCGGCACGTGTTGGAGGTGAATTGATTATTGGAGGATCAGATCCTAAATATTACACTGGTAACTTTACCTATGTTCCTGTAACCAAGCAGGGATATTGGCAATTCAAGATGGATGGGTATGGAATACCTATTAGTTTACTTTCTAAATTATTAATTTCATTTTTGTATGTAGATATTCTGTTACACAATTCCAATTAAATATTATTGTTTTTAACTATATTATTATTAATTGTTTTAAAAATAATTAATAATATTTGTTCTGAGAAAAAACATTGGTTTGTTGTGTTTACTGTTAAACTGAGATTTCTCTGCCCATGATTAACCATGCCAAGGTTACTAAATTTAGTAAATCTTTTACTTAAAATATGAAGTACATATTTTATACAATGTTAATTGGGCAGCAGCAGATCATTCAATTCAAATGTTAATTTCTCACCTTGTTATTCTGCCAATCATGAAGGATTGGTGTTGGTGGGAAGACTTCAAGCTTCTGCAAGGGTGGATGTAATGCTATTGCAGATACAGGTACTTCACTTATTGCTGGACCAACATCAGAGATTAAGGCTCTTAATGAGATGATTGGTGCAATCCCCCTCATTGAAGGAGAGGTTAGTTCATGGTCTGTACTTCTTAAACTAAGCTATTTTTAAAAATTTACCACTAAATGTTACTCTGTGCCTTTTTTTTATTAAATTTACTTAATAGTATTTTATTTCTAATTTGAATTCTGACTGTAAAATGAACATGGTGATGAAAGTAATACAAGGTTATCTGGTGGTCATGAAACAATTTTATTATTTTTATGAAATTGTGTCTTGTTATAAAATGAGATGACCAACTACAGTACAATGTCTTCGCTTGTAGCAGCTTACTAGTCAGTATTTGTCAGTACATTTTGTTTTCTTCTAGGCCATGGTTCCATGTGACAAGGTACCCAGCCTACCAGCCATTACATTCACTCTTAATAGTCATAATTTCACCCTTCAAGGCAAAGACTATGTACTTCAGGTAAACTAGCAACCTCTCTTTGCCCAATAATATAAGGCAAACAGAAAAGCCAAACCAGTCACTCCTCACAAAAATCGATTTTTAGTTATTAATACAATGTTAAACAGTAAAATGAAAGTTGTAAAATGGTGAAAGAATCATTTAAATCCGATATTTCGTTGTGAAGTTACAGCAGTTTAAACATACAGCTGTTTAAATAAGAGTATTTGAGAAATTGGCCTTCAAAGTTTAAGATTCGGGGAATTCTCAGACAGAGACTATCACCAAATTGTTAAAAAATGTTTTAATGTTGAAAATGGGGAAACATGGGTGTATGCAAGGGGATGTTGGGAAGGTCATACGACCCCCCCCCCCAAAAAAAGAAATTTTTAAAAGTCCACATTTTTCTCAAAAACATTTTTTGATAGGTCCTTTTCACAATTACATAAATGAAAAAGCATTGATGAGGTACCAGCAATGAGTCCAAAGACTTTGCCAATTGCGTGACGTAATCTATCTCAATTCCAGAAATTCTGAAACTGAGCCTGCCATCTGCTTCAAGTAAATTATATTGACGTTTTAATCACATCTTGCTGTTATTTCATTGTGTAAAGGTCCAAAAAATTATGATCAAGACGCACCCAGAAAAAAACTTGGATACACCCCTTGGAAATAAGAACATAGCATGATGTATAGATATATAAGGGTTAGTTTACTGCAATAAAAAAGATAGTTGACATATCTCAGAAACATTATTTGCCGGGAGTGACTGGTTTGGCTTGTCTTCGCACATATTCTATTATTAATTTAATAATATTGTCATCATATTTTTCTAATAATATGATTTTGGCTATATGCAAGATACCAACATTCATATCAGGGGCAGATCCTGGATTTGAAAGAGGGGGTACAAAATGTTTCCAAAAAACCCAAAATTGGACAGGGGCTGGAGGAAATTTTAATTCCTAGATGGCCGGAAATGAGCTTTCCCGATTGCTGAGGTTTCTTTTAATGACCTTAAGTTGTTGGTAATTCAGGGTTTCCTCCCTCTTGTAAAGGGTCCAAAAATAAAAACACACCGCAAACCCCATCCAAACCCTGTGATAGTGAGGGTAATTTTATATCATTCTTGGGCCTATACATAGAGAAAAAAAAAGACATGCAATATATTATTATATTCCAACAATATTGAGAAGTTGGATACATTGTTTTTCTTCCATGGATCGATGAACTGATAGGCCTGAAGAACGCACTTTCATGCATAAACTATTTCGACATCGAACTGGTCGAACCAGAAACCAGACCTGCCGACCCCTGGGTCATGAAAATCTGGTCACAGGCCAATTATTAAGAACCAGGGATCTGGAGGTACCATAGATATATTAATACTATTTCCCAGAGGTTTCTAATCAAAACAGTGTAAATCCAATATAAAAGAATGCAAGAAGAAATTCCTGGAGTTCAGTAAGCTAGCGTACAAAACAGCTCTTAGAAACTACATGTTCAGACCACTGACCTAGTGTTCTTTTATAATAATTTCAACTTTTTAGTGATTTTTAAAAATTTAATGAATTTAACTTTGTATTATGTAAAAATTTTCAATAAACAAATAAATAAATACTTATTTTCTAAATGGTGTAATTCTCAAATTTTATAGCTTTATAACTCTTTTTGGATTTGTATTTTTACTGTTAGCGTTAGAGTAATAAACAATGTTTTAATATTTTTATTGCTGGCATTTTTCACCTGTTTCTATTCATTTTATGCCTTTTAAACTGTTTGTTTTTTTGGTCATGATAAAATGTACAGTTATATTTCTGTGTTTGCATGGACCCCAGTGAAAATAAGTTTTACTTTTCTGGGCTTTTCCTTGTAATTAGGGTCATGTTTTTGTGCAGTTTTTTATCTTGTCTGTTTTTTTGTATATCGTGTTGTATGTATTTTATGACTCTGATTACGAAGAAATTCAGTTAATCAACACTTGGCACAACTACAACATTTATTTATAGCAAATGGCATGACAAAAAGGTATAAATGCACAGTTTACTCGAATCAACTGTGTTCACTAAACAAACAACTTACATTTCCATCTAAATCTATATATATAATACATTTTCTAAATATTTTATTAGAATATAAAAAACAATAATATTCGTAATCATTTCATTATTACTTGAATTTGGATCATAGAGAAGAATTGCTAATAATAATAATAATAATAATAATAAGCCTTATTTATATTGTAATTACATGACTTAAAATATAAATTTATTATTTTACTTTGTAAATAAAATTTCAAAAATAATTGTAATTCTTGTTTAACGTACACATAGAAACGGTCACACGCGCAGCAGTTCTATTTCATATATGCATACGCATGCATCCTTCACGCAGTGACGTAACGCCTATGCGCTCTTGTGCGGGGCCCCAGACCCCTAGGGGTCCATAAGGCCTCCTACCCAAAGGGTCCTCGATCTAGCACCTTGAGCCAAAAAGCCTTTTTTGATACATAATAGCATACTAATGTTAATTAATTTTCTTGTTTGTATACTTGGTTAGCCTATACATGGGTTTTTAATCGTTTGTAATTTCCTTTGGTATTATTGTACATTTATTTTATAGTTTATACATGGGTCATTCAGTGCCAACTCAACAAATGGGATGGCTGGGTACCGTCTCAGATTTTCTTGAAACTCGGATATAATGTGCACCAACATGTCTGACGAACAAACCCAAAATTTGACTTGCCAATTCCAAGTCGTTTAGAAGTTACGGCCATTTGAAATGTTAGGGTCATACCCCTTTTTAGCTATCAATTATGACATATTTGTAAAGTTGCATTTTTAATTAGCCGTATCTTCAAATAGAATAAAGATAATTAACTGAAAATTGATATCTAGACTAACTTTTGGCTGTAGAACAGGAATATAACATGACTTTTGGTATACCGGACCCCGTTTCGAAAATATTGGTTCGTAAAGACCCTAACTTATTTGGTTGCGTAATTTTTCTTCCATTTTTAGACCCCATTAAAATACCCAAATCAGTTATTAAATGGGTCTTATACACCAAATTCTTAATATATAGTTGGAAATGTTTCTCCATCAAAAATTCCGGATTACTAACTTGTCATTTTAGGGGGTAATCGTAGGTCAAACGGTCATTCGGGACAAAAAATGCACAAAAATGCCTCATTTTCATGGTGACCTTTGACCCTGTGGGCAAGTACGCTTGTTGTTAAAACTTGCATCATTAATTAATTTATATATGATGATCAGATGTTCGAAATATCAGCTTGGTGTCTTTATCCCTTCATGTTTAAAAAGCAATTTGAATAGGGGTATATTTTTCAATTTGCGACAGTATCAGTGCGTAAATGTGATAAAATAAATTTTTGAATAACGATAATATTAAAAATAATCTGCCTAGACCCTTGAAACTTATTTTGGTATTTTATACCAAAAGTCATGTCATATTCCTGTTCTACAGCCAAAAGTTAGTCTAGATATCAATTTTCAGTTAATTATCTTTATTCTATTTGAAGATATGGCTAATTGAAAATGCAACTTTACAAATATGTCATAATTGATAGCTAAAAAGGGGTATGACCCTAAAATTTCAAATGGCCGTAACTTCTAAACGACTTGGAATTGGCAAGTCAAAATTTGGGTTTGTTCGTCAGACATGTTGGTGCACATTATATAGTTTAAGAAAATCTGAGACCTTACCCAGCCATGATTTTCTGAAAATTTGTTGAGTTGGCACGGAATGACCCACATGACTAACATATGAAATTATATATTGAATGTTATTTTTGAATAATCTGACTCAAAATTGCGTTGAAAGGAACTAAACTGGGTACTTATATCCTTTTGCCAAAGTTTGTCAACATGTCTTGAATCAGAAAACCCACGGCAAACTGACATTTTGAGCGCAAAAATCAATATTTATAGAAAAAATGTGTGCTAAACTGGAAGAGACATTATTTGTCTATTTGAATACATTAACCATGAAATCAAATACTAAAACACATTTTAGGGCTAAATAAATTACACGTTTTGCTTAATATCTCCAAAACAGCAAATTGTCAGTTATGCCCTTTTGCCATGGGAGGGCAGTGTGTTCCTATAGTAACTAGGCCTGGCGCGCCACCATGTTTAACTTTTTCTAAGCCGGGCTTTAATCGTTGCGGGGGGTCTTGCATTGACTTCGGATGACAAAATGACAAATCAGCATTCAATTACGTACGCTGTGAGCGAGCGTACGTTTCGCGAGCAATGTTTTGAAACACGTTTCCTGGTTACGGTTCATTATTATGTAAATTCTCCCCTGGCTAAACCCACTAGTCTGAACGCCCGGCAAAGTTAAGCCGGGCTTAACTCAAGCCTGGCTTATCTTCAAGTCTGAACGTAGCCAAACATTTTTAACAGTGTGCTACCATTTTGTACTCTTTTTATATACCGAAATAAATAAACAAATAAATCATTATTATTGTTTTATATCATATCACTTATTTTGCCTTAACATAACATACAATACAAAAACACAAGTAAATCTGCGAGGCAGGATTGCCAAAATATACCGAAATAAATAAACAAACAAATAGATCATTATTCTTGTTTTATATCCTATAATATATCATTTATTTTGCCTTAACATAAAATACAATACAAAAACACAAGTAGTAAATCTGCGAGGCAGGATTGCCAAAATGTTATAAAGAAATAACAGTCAAACTGGCTCTCTACACAGAAAAACTAGTCAAAAATGAGGAGTACATATTCAAGTATATCAATCAATAACATTAATTAAATGTGTTTACTTATTTTTCAGTAAATATCCAGTGATTGTTCATTTATATTTTTTTATGTAATTGTAGAGCTTTTTGTCTGTATCTGTATTTACTGCGATTATCGTTATTATATCTTGTCAGATTGCAATAAAGTGAATTTTGAAATTGAATTTGAATTATATCAGTATTTCATAGACTATTTATATATTGCTCAGCTAACCTATTGACCAGTATTTAAAATTTAGTTTTATAGATAAATTAATTACTCTATTGTTTTAATAGGTATCTGAGGGAGGGCAAACAGTGTGCCTCAGTGGATTTCTTGGTCTTGATGTTCCTGCTCCAATGGGACCATTGTGGATCTTAGGAGATGTGTTCATTGGACGTTATTACACCGAATTTGACAGGGCTCACAACCGTGTTGGCTTTGCAAATGCTGTCTAAATTTAGCGACATGCTTATCTTGTATCAGTAATAAGGTTAATACGAATCACAAGTAGAATAAACCCATCACAAATTAATCCCAGCAAAACACAAAACGTTCATTTGCATACACAGTGCATTCTACTTAGCCTTATCAGAACACTTAAACTCCAGCAACGCTATAGAATACAGGTTTGTGTGGTTTCAGAAATTATAGATTGATGGTAATAATGTTGTATAGGGGTAATGAAATGATCTTGCATTCAAAATCCTTACTAATTTTTGTGCACTTTGTTTATTTTGATGCGAGTTATTTGATGCAATTTGCTTCAAGAAAGTAATTTTTGTCCTACCTGACGTGTTATCGTACCAAAGTTCCCGAAATACTTGTGAAAAAAACATTGTTTATGTTATAATATGTTAGTGTATCAGAATATATTTGTAATCATTTGCTTTGACCTTGATAGTTTAAAATTATTAAGTTGTAAACAATGCATATTTGAAATGGGGTGTTAATATTAACCGTGAATCCTTCTTTTTCTATTTGTAATGATTTTGGAGATAATAAAATAATAACTTGTATTTTTGTGTTTCAATGGATTTGTCTAACACACACCATTTAAGCTTATGCTCCCATATTGAAAGATAGTGAGCGCTCTCTACTTTTGCTTCAGTGGCACAGAAAAGCTGTGTGTTCACAATAAAGTAACATTCACAACAATGCAGAAGTGCAACAAATTAGATGTACATTTAAAAAAAAAATTGATGATGCAAAAATGCCAAACTAAATGCTTGATGCATTGTCAAATTATGATTCTTCAAGAATTGTTTTGAAGTTATTTCCGAGTGTCTCAATCTTCCTGGGCCCACCTGCCTGACCAGTACCTAGGTTACAGAAAAAAACAGTTACCAAATGAACACAAGGCAATACATTTTACACTAAAGCCACTTTCATACAAAACTACGTTACTGCAATATTACGGGAATCTTCCCGGCATTGCCTTCTGTACGAATAGGGCAGCCGCAATATTGGGGTTATGCAGCGTTCCATCTCACTAGTAATATTACTGCAATGTTGCTGTTACGCTTCGTTCCGGCGTGTCTGAAACGATCGGTCGATCCCCACACAGAATAGGGAGTACCGTTCTACTAACCAATGGAAAACACTTTACAAGTGTGATTTATGCATCCTCTGGGGTGGATGCAAATTGTATTAAGAAAAATTATTGTTGTATTCATCATCATCATCATCATCATTTATTTAAGTCAGTTTTCTTCCCTCTTCCAAGGGGTTACTGACTGTCACTCGTTCCATGCAGCTACACCATCTCTCCACTTCTTCCTGTCTTGTGCATCATACTCCTCCAACCTAATTTTTGCACTTTCTTTCTTCACCATATCTTTCCACGTCACCTTTGGCCGCCCCCTTACTCTTCTACCTTCAACTTCTAGATGCCAGGCTCTCTTTACTGGATCACCTTCGTCTTAGCACATGACCCATCCATCTCAAGCAACTCCTCATAACAACCTCCACAATTGTTTCACTTAGACCTAGACGTTCCATAAGCTCCTTTGTGTTCCTTCTTTCTGCCAGCTTAACACCACACATTTTTCTTATCATTGCTCTTTCTGTTCTCAAAATTCCCTCTTCAGTTGTCTTTATGTTCCATGTTTCGGCACCATACACCATTGCTGATCTTGCACAGGCTTTATAAATCCTACCCTTTATTCCCAATGAGAACCTTCTGCCACACAGTACCATTGTATTGTATTGTTGATATATTATTTTTATATTAAAAATATAGTACAGTTAAAATTTTAAAATTATGAGAGTGCAATTTCCGGGCACATTGAGGTTCATATTTTCAAAATTTCCTAACCTCCACCCCAACCATGGTTGGGCTGAGGTGGTGTGGACCCCTACCGCCAAATCCTGCATCCGCCCCAGATTCCCAACATCTGTGCTACTGATGAAGATCGCATGCACATTACCAGTTACTTCATGCGAGTGTGAGCGAAGCTTTAGTACCATCCATCGATTACATACATATATGCATGCTTCTATGGCACTGGAGCGCTTTTCCAGTTAGGCACTCATGACATTTCATTATGACGAAAAGATAACTATGGACGAGGTGGTGAATTCAACACAAAAGGAAAATGCAACTCGACTCTGTATTCAAATAGTATACAATTGATATACCTGGTCTGATGAATTACCCAAATGATACAGAATTACACATATCATAACCCAAATGACTGTTAATTCGTTTATACCAAACTAAAAATTAAATATGATGTTAGTAGCCCCAGGCCTATAGCAAATATCTATAGAATTTATTATAATAATTTTTAACATAGACCTTGCCTTTATATATAGGCCTAATTGGCCTATGTATTATATATTATGTTTATTATTATTATTATTTTAATATTATTATTGATACTATTAATAATAGTATCATCATTTATTTCTTTTTTTTATTTATTTCTTTATTCAAGACCCAACAGTGTGTCAAAACACCAAAAACGGGGTCGACATAAAAATACAATATTAAAATTTTTTTAAATAATTGCTGTTATTATTGTTATTACTTATTATTATCCGTATTATTACTAGGAATATTAATTTTATTTTTAAATTTATTAGTAGGAATCATAAGATATCTTTATAAAGTAATGTATTTTGAATATAAAACAAAAGAACATACATGAATATTATGGACTTATTCAGGTGCATTTAATTCAGTCTGGCTACATTCTAAGCTACTCCATGGCTTACCCCAGCGTTTATTTTTTTTTTATTATTTTTTTTTTCTTTTGTTTTTGTTTTGTTTTGTTTTTTTCATACAAATTTAGCACGTTAAAATTAAACATGTACTACTGTTAATTCTGGTAAACGTTTTTTGGCCAAATGTTTATTTCAGATTGGCAAAACCCAAAGCCCAATATGTTTTTCGATGCAAAAAATGACAATTATAGCCAAGTATTCATTTTGCACCAGGGGTAGGCATATGGGGTGTCATTGTGCCAAAACATGAAAGGGAGTTGACATGGAAATGGGTGATTCACATTTCAACAAAGCGTGATCATATGTTTAGTTTAAACAATTATTAACCGAGTCATTTTGGGTAACATCATCCATAAACTGGGATTAGCACAATGATGTTGGTGGACTTCAAAAATACTAAACTAAAATCAGTATTAAGAAGTGATCCTTATGCAGAGTGAGATGAATAAACTGTACAATTTTTTGAGATTAACGAAAAGGCCTAAATATTTCGGAAATTAAGATAGAAAAGGTACATGCCATGATGGAATTAATACATGATATTATTTTGGCATTACTTGCTACGCTAGAAAGTGATTACACATATACAGAATTTACATCTACATGAATAAAGAAATACGATACTTTATGTCCGAAAATATTCAAATGACGGTCAACAGATACAATTCGTTTTCGTTTCGTTTCGTTTTTACTCATCATTATCAATACGTTACTTTACATTTCAGAAGAAAACAAAGTTATTTTTTATTGAAAGAATGAAATGAGGCCTTTATAGGTCCGAATACACTTAGGCTCAGGCCACCTAGGGAAAAAAACGATTAAGAATTTGAGGTTATAGCTTAAATGATTACACTTAACAAACTTAGAAAAAGATAATAAAACCTTAAGTATAATATATAATATAATATATATATATATATATATATATTATATATAGGCCTATATATACATACATATACATACATATATATAATACATAAATATAAATAAGTACAATAAATTAAATGAAACAAAATGAAAAATATACAATATTTTCAGAATAGATAAATGAGTAGCTTATATTTCAATATATAGTATTAATATGCATTGAAAATTTTAAAATTTAGTGGCAAAATCAGGAGAGACATTTGTATACTTATTACGCAAAAAATTTAAGAAGTTACAGCTAACACCCATGGTGCTAAACGTTGACCAAAAAGTGCTTTGAAGTCTAAACATACAAATAAGTATGACTTGCTGCTTTTGTAATAATGTATTTATCGATAAGCATTTTAAGAACTAGAATGTGATCCCTCAGGGGTGGCGCCAGGACCTGCTCGACGGAGGGGCTAAAGGCCCCGACGGGGGAGGGGGATAGTGGAATGAATCGAGTCTCACTCGGCTGGGCGCCAGGGGGCCGGCTAGGGCCCCCGGTGTTGGTCCAGGGTGCTTCGCCCCTGGAAGCCACGGATATTGGACGAATTATGACGAATTTTTATTACTTATTTGATAGGCATCCATATCTTTTTTCAAAATTAACTTGAGCTTATTGCTTCAAATCATTATTCAACTCTGTAAACGCTATGATATAGTTTTCTATGAATAGCGTATCTAAATACTAATACTAATACTAATACTAATACTAACTACGAAACGAACAATTATTCATGAGGAAGTAAATAAATGTTCCTTTTGAATTGAATTGAATTCAACCTCTTGCTGTAATTTTAAAATAAAAATACATGTCTCCCTCTAATTATAGACCCCCAATTAGACCACCTCCAAAAGACAACTTTTCTGAGGTCCGAAATCAACAAATGTTTGTGCGCGAGTGAATGTGTGAGTGTGTGCCAAACCGCCGGATATGAAATTTTTGCGTAATTGGGGTGCGCGCGCATACCCCGAAATTTTAACTCCATGCAGTGTTACAAACCTGATATTTAATTTCTAGGAAGTCCTTCCACTTGTTTTTTTACATTAATAATATCAGTATTAGTATTAGTAATATAACTAATGCAACGTTGTATCTTCTAATTCACTTTGGTTGAACACCTTTTAATTATAGTGTTTATCGGCTTAAATAAGTCGGAAGAAATTTCACGCCCGGTTAGGCATAGGAGCCGGCTCCTGCGTCATCTGACTACCCTACCATATGAAACTGGTTTTCTACTCGAGTAAACCTATATCGATAATTTACACTCTTACTTCTTGTCATCAGCTTTAACAGTCAAGTGAAGCAGATATCAAGTTCATAAAGTTAGCCGTGTGCGTCTTCTCCGGTCGTCAGAAATTCTTTTAACTACTGTAAACCGACGGGCAATTTAAATAGGCCTATTTGTGCGAAGTTGATATCAAGTTGTCAATCACCAAAGGTAGGCCTAAGTATTTCTATGTATTAATTGTCCTACATTGTGCGCTTTAAGCATTTTACAAAAAAAAAAGAAAAAAAAAGAAAAAAAGTTATTTAAATTTGGTGACATCTGAAAATAACAATAATAATAATTCTACAACAGATATTTAGGCCTAAGTTGTTTGTTGCTGCTTTAGTATAGGAACGGTTTGGCACAGCGCGTGTGGTATAATTCTCAACTTTGAGGTGGGGGGGTTCAGTCCCTCAACCTGCATTTTTTGTTTGGGCAAGGCAGTTTACCTACAGCTGTGTTTCTCCACCCAAAATATACTGTATGCGGATTTCCGCTGCCAATGAATTCTTCCCAAGTAACTGAGTACACTTCATACGGTATGTGTTTAATCCAGTGACCGGTTGGAGTGGGTAGCAGTGGGTATCTAGCAGTATTAAAATAGTATTAAAAGGGGGGGGGGGCTGGTGGGCGGGCGCGACCAAAATATGAGGGGACATGGAATTTATTTTCGGTGGCCACGCCCACTGAAAAATATTGTTTCTTAGATTCCCGAATACACGTTAACCGTGACAGATATGTTAAAGTATATCTCTTGAACGCAGTATTTGATGTGTTTTGATGAACGTCAATAAAGGAAAGTTGAGAAAGCATTAACCCATTTTCTTGAGCATAAGCCTAGCCTAATTTTTTTTGCTTCGAAGTTTTCGAATGGGGATGGGGGGGGGCGACTGGGGGCGCAAACGTGAGCCCCCACGCCCCCCCCCCCTTGGATATGCCACTGAGTGGGTGGTTGGGGTTGGTGTGGTAATAATGTGAACTGCTTGACGCTTAGTTTAGAGGCCTTGTTAGCATTAAGCGCTATTGTTATCTAATAGAAACAAAGTTGAAAATATAAATTGATGCAATGTTTATCGTATGTCGATTATAATAACCACAGCATTATATAGCTTAAGTTAGTCTCTGCATTAGCATCGTTGACTTATCAGAACAATGGTTGATTATATTTATTATATATAATATTGTCATAATATACAGATTTATTTTTTTTTTCCATAAATCTTTGGACACCATTATTAATTTCTTCTTCTATAGATATACCTGTCAATCATACGGTGTATTACATTCTCAACGAAAACAAGTTGCAACATTGATTTTAGCATTACTTGCCTCAAACCGACTGGTGCCATTAAACTCCAGGTAACTGATCGATGTCTTGACTACTTGTTCTTACCATCTTTAATTAATTATGTTCAACAACAATAATTTTGTGAAACGTATTCAATTGAACAATAATATGTATTTCTTTGGTAGGAGGCGCTGTCCATTAAGGCTACATAAAATAATATGTCATTTGTGGCCTCACAAGGCTGATCTTGTTATAATCAATTTATTGTTTAACTGACGACGATGAGTGAATTACAATGAATACAACGAGGTTAAAAAAAGTTCAGTGTCTAATTGCCATAGTTTCATTTGAATGGAAATTAAAAAAAGCAATTATAGGAAAAAAAAAGTAACATTCTGTAACACATACTTTATTATCATAATGTTCTATTATATATAATATACAACAATAATTGATAATTGTTTTTCAATGTTTTGCCATATATATATAGGCACGGTTCTGTACATTATTTTCGGCTTGCTGGGTCTCGAATGAGATACTTGTATATATATATATAAAGTGATTTAAATGCATGGGAAAAACCCCCCGAAACAGCAAGCAGAATAAATTGAAAAATAACAGAAGAAGAATCTGACAGAGAAAATAAAAACTCGAACCCATCGGGACTCGAACCCGGAAGCTTTCGCATACATGGCGAACGTCATAACCACTTGAGCACGAATGCATTGTGGTAATTCAAGCGCCAGGTGGAATCTGAGTTTTTTTTTTATTATTTTAACGTCACGATTTTGATATAGGTCTAGCACTAATATTGAACCTGACTAGACTGCCAGAGATCTATAAGATACGCCCTATTCTGTGCATGTGTGGGTATCAAGTCAATCCACGAAAGTTCAGAAAGCTGGAGATGATGAGTGGAGCCGAAATTAGAGTCGATAATGATAGGAATTCAACTACAAGCAGATTCTGCAAAAATGATAACTTACAAATAATATACCCTTCCCATAAATAGACATATAAACCAAAATTCAATACGTTTTCTGTTCTTCAGCAGCTGCCAGCCTAAAATAGTAGACCTATAATAATTCATAGGCTCTTCCCAATTGTAATTTTATGAATAACGACGCACTGACTTACACAGCTTATATAATCGTATATTTTTTTACGGTAGTTTGTTGTTTCAGTATATTATGGTACTTTCCAAATGAAAATATATAGTTAACATTCAAACGAACATTTAAAATGATAATAAATTGTGAATAATGTGTATCGTTACACAAGCACCACACATTGTGCTTCAAATGTCGATATAAGGTGTATTGCGCCCGTTTAATACGTCTTTCGTTAATCTATCAATCAAAATAGAACTTAAGTCTCTAATTTTGGTGAAGCTGTACCCATGGCAATGGTAGCCCGATGGTACCGTGGTTCTCGCTGTAGCCCCGTCATATATCCATGGTATCCCAATGATAGCGCATAAAAATTATTTCTAAGAATTTTGTGACCAGATATTCGATCGTTGATGAGTGTGAAACTTCATTTATTAAATAAACACGTTTCCCAAGGTTTTGTAGACCTTTAATTAGATAGTTCGCCGTTTGTCTTCTTAAGCAAGTTTCCCTTTGGTGTTTATCCTGCTTGAGCACACACAATCCTACAATCACTCCTCATTTGTCAATTGTAGCCTAAACATCTCTTCGCCTCTATATTTTGCCATTGATCGCTTCCAATTATCGCTGTCACCGGCTATATCTTTGAGTCGCTTAATGGCTTTCGCAATTTTACAAAGGTTGAATTAGTTGCAAATTATAGTATCAGTATCGTTGTTATTCATTTAATATAATTTATTGTATATGATATTAATGTATTGAATAAAGAATCTTTAATTGATATCAAAATCATTCGGTTGTATTAAATGCATACCGGTACGTTAAATTTTAACGAATCATTGTTAATTCGATGTTTGGTGTTTACATAGCTTGGTATATTGTTTAACTATATTCACATTACATAACGCATGTGGTAGGTTTACTCACCGTGCAAGGTCTTGGTGTACACATAACCACCATCTTAATGTTTCTTAATAATAAAAATATATAGGCCTATATATATA